CACCTTTAATTAAATTTGCCTATTAGTAAAATGCAAAGCTGAAAATGCAATCGAGAAAAGCCCTACTGTTACTTCTTTAAATTCAGTATTATTTGTCATGAGTGGGAGTGCTGTAGATATAGTCATAAATAGATTTTTTTTTTCTGTTACATCTGTTTACATATAGAATGCTGAGACAGTGATAAATTACACAAATAATCTAAATCTGTCCTGCCCACTTGAATCAAGTGACATACTGAGTCAGTAAATAAGATATCATGCCTCGGATGAATAAATGAACCTTCTGTCCGCATCTAATATCACATTCTTGCACAAAACAAAACATCAGCGTTTCCTTCAAGACGCTGAGAGTGCAGTTCTTCCGTGTTAGTGGTTGCTTGTTTAACGTAGGGTTAAAGTGCTGGAAACGAACAGCAGCCAGCTCAGTGTCATCTTTGTGGAGAAGGAGTAAGCGTCAAGGTTCTTGACTCTGCTGAATGTGGAGATTAGGAAAACAGCAGAGCGAGCAGAAAGATGAGGACACTGACCAGAAAGGTAATGCCTGAGAGCTCGGAAAATTTTTATTTTCTTACCTTGTCATCTCCATCATTGCTTGCATGGAACTCATGTCCTCCTTCTCAATAATCAATAAAAACTACTTCAAACCTGTTATGTGGTCTTGTGTCCTGGTGGCGTGTTTTTTTTATTTCCTTCCAATATCATTGTGCCTGAATGTAACATGAACTATAGCAGTGTGCACATCCTTAAAACATGCTCTGAATGTAGCTGCATTACAACTTAATACATAAAGAGGGTTTTGCCTCCATTAACGTCTAACGGCACAACTGTTTAATTCAGCTTTATTTTTTTAGTAGCCATACATATGATGATTAAGTGATTTATTCCTCAGATTCAGCTGTGTAAAAGCAGAGCTGGTCTGAGGCTGTACATGGCCGTAGAAAGAATTTGATTTGGGGGCCACCAGAGCACCGTGGTCTCTTTTACATTGTCCATGCTTAATTATTTTCCATCTTTGCACTGCTTGTTTACAAACTAACTGGTGAGCCAACAATCAGTTCCTTGAACTAATAGCTACATTTATTTATTTATTTATTTATTTATTTATTTATTTATTTATTTATTTATTTATTTATTTATTTATTTATT